GGGAGGCACTGGTCGTGTCGTAACCGGCGATGAAAAACAGTATTCCCTGAGCCGTCAACTCATCGCTGGTTAGCGTTTGCGAGGATTTAATAACAGTTTCCGTCGATTTTTGCAATTGGTTTACATTCATGTCTTCATCGCTATTATAATCGGAATCGAAATTCTTGTCATTCTTTTCGTTATCAATCATAAGTTGTATGAAATCCGATCTCTTATTAGCTATAAATATAAAATTATAATAACTTTTAAATACGTTATTATTTAAAATTATATTAATCTATACTAACAGTCAGTATTCATCGCAGACTTCCTTTCGGCAACTATTTGTTCCGTTAGGTTATTGAAAAAATTAATTGCATTCACATTAAACGGTTCCAGTTTAAAGAACCTGGCTATTGATGGACAGAGTATGAACAGCATGAAACTGAAACTCGTGTCCACCGATAGGATCTTCTTAGCGTTCACTACAATGGGATGATTGGCGTTATTAATGGACTCCACGTTTATACCATAGGCACAGGCGCTGATCACATCCATGGCAAATGCACCCATGTACTTGCGCATATCAGCCGTTTTGCCTAAATTATCATGCAAGTTATTATTCAACTGTACCTTGAACAGGTAAATTATATAATTGAACACAAAGAAAATATATATTTTTAAAATGCATACCATTTACGGCATATTCATCCAGATTCTTGACAAACTGGTCGGCAATACCCCCGATACTACCCATCATTGCCCTCAACTTTCCCGACGAAAACGAGGGACTGGTGATCGTACGGATCCGTTTCCACTCCTCATCGTTGCCATTGAGAAAAACATGGCTTTCGCTAGGTTTGTGTTACCCAGGTTGAAATGTAAGTGATCGGGGAATATGTGGAAGTCCTTGACCAGGATATCGCGTAGGAGTTCCGGTTCGTTCACAAATGCCATTTGCCAAACAAATCGTATGCACCGAATATACGGCCGTATTTTTGCCAGTTTTTTGTGTAAAAGTCGGTCACTTTCATAAAGAATCCCTCAATTCCTATACGGTTGGGCCCTTTGACGCCATGTCTGGACCAGTAGGTGAACCGGTAGGTTAATAGGCTATATGTAGTTTTATAATACAAATTTAAATAGTAATTACTTTATGTTATTGAAAATTATGTTAAGCATACCATGCTATTAATGTTATAGATATTGTCCAAAAATTTAGAATAATATCTAGCATCTTACTTCAAAATTATTATGCTGTATAAAATAATTAACACCTAATAAATTTAATTAATTTAATTTAGAGTACATACAGCTTATATACTAATATTTATAAAATCTCGTAACGGCTTTTCACAGACATAAAATAAGACTTGCTCATTATCCAAGGTTATGTCGGATAATTAGTAAATTAGTAATTTGTTTATAATTGCAAATATCAGTTCATTCAAAGCAAACTAATCACTGATATATTTAAATGAATCCGACATATCATACATCCCTTCCCTCTGATTGCTGTATATTATGTGTTATTTATGTAATATTTAGATGGAGTGCAGTGTGTACTGCCTATCTAATATTAGTTAATTTTAGATAAGTTATTAAATTACATGCACATTTCTGCACTTTTTGTACTCATTTTGATCTATATTTGTGTATTTATTGTGATACTTATCAGTATTTACACATAATATTAGTAATTACACTTAATTATTATTTATAAATTAATTTTTTAGAACTAACTATTATACATTATTTAATTGTTATTTATTTTTATTTCAAGCCTGTTTTATTCATTGTGTATTGTATTTATTCTCGTTATAATTTTTATATAATTTAGTTTGCTGATTTTCTAATTTATAGTTGAATTTAATAAATTATAATAAATACAAATATTCAGTAAGTGAATTGATAAGCGCATGTTTTATATGATAAGCGCAAACACCGGATATTATATTGTAATTATTTGTATTTATTGTGAAATTTAATTTTGATGTAAAAAACAACTTATTTCACCACATATTTCATTGAAATATAAATAGAAACCTATTCAGAGAAATACATAAATATTTTTACATTGTTTAAAATACAAGACAATATTATTTCAGTTAATAAATGCAACAGACATTATTTTATTGATTATGAAATTATTTTTAATTTAACCTACGATTTGGGTCAAAATATTCATTAGTAAAATAAGTTTTTATTGGCAATGTCTAAAAAATTTATTTTAAAATTTTTATCACAATCTTATATTTACATTAATATTATTTTGCTCTAATATTAATATTTATTTTAAAAAGTATGAAATATATTGCACCAAAAAAACATTTCTCAGAAATATATTCATAAACAATTTTAAACAAACAAAATCATAATAATTACATTTAATAGCATAACTCTATACCTGAATAAACAATGAACACCTTTTTCACAACATATGCATAATTAGCCTGTTTATGTCTACATACATAATTTGATATATAAATCATAAAAATAGAAATTCCTTTAATTAAAAAACAGTTTACTTTCAAATGAAAAATGACATACAATTCTATATAATCGACACAATGGTATTGACACAAATGAGTGCATTGTCAGTTTTATTGTCAAAGGGTTTAAACAAATTTTTTCAATTCAATGCTGGACTTGAACTTCAAAACCGAAACTAAATATAAAAATCAAAAGTTGTATTCAAAGGGCTGTCAGTCAGAACACAATAGTCGTCGCACAAAGTCATGGGAACTCATCATTTTCTACTCCTATCGGTAGCGCTACTAGTCGTGGGCTGCACCTACGGACAGCAACCGCCCGGTGCTCGTCAGCAGCGGACTAACAGCGCTATTATGCAGATAATGAAGTCGGTCGACAAGATGTTGTGTTCCGACACCGACTATACCCCGGATATTGTGGCCAAAATCGAGGACTGCGACAAATTTGACCCTCACTATAAAATTGATGTAAAATCAGTTTTTGTGTTAAAAAATAGTTTTTTTGTTAATTATTTTTTGTGATTTGATTGACAGATGATGTATAAGGAGTGTCAGGATCTGGTGCCTAAGGGTGAGCTCAGTTGGAATGATAGGCGAAAATATAATTGCAAGGTATGTGTTGAACTCATATATTAATTTTTGTACATAGGTAATTCAATAAATAAAATAAAATATATGCTAAATTAACTACTGTATAAACTTAATATCCAGTTTCCCATATATCCTACATACAAGTACTTATATGATTGATTTATTATTTATTTTATTATTTAATTTGTAACTAATTTAATAGTGCAGTTATTTGACATATTACACCAAGTATGTGAGCAATGTCCTTTTCTTATATACATAATAGGTTCGCGAGTGTTATGATCGCAAGTTTCAGTCCCCGGATTACAATAAGACATGGGATGAGATCCGCAATTTATCTGACGTTGAGATCGAAAAGAGACAAATGCAGAAATTTGTGAGTATTTTGTGTTTAAAATGTGATTTTAATTTTATATTAAATTTATTATGATATTAATTTGTATTCATAGGAGTGTCTGGAGAAAGCGTTGTAAAGCGATAAGTCTCAAATGTATCAGTATTTTAGGATTTAGTATTAAATGAAAATATTATTTCAATTGCTTTTAATATTGTACTCTATACTTATTTCATTACCGCTAAATCTAGTATTAAAAACAAATATAAATGCAATTTATTTATTATTTATTATAATTTATAAACAATACAATTAATTTAGTTTATGATACTGGCACTTATTTTGATAAAATTAGTTATAAATACAAACTTTTAAAAACTTATGAAAATACTTTCAACCAAAATAGTTGTACGATATAGTATTAATATAATAATAATAATAGTATTATGCTAGATTTTTCATAATTAGCATATAATTAACACCCGCTATATAGACATATTGATAGAACTCTATGTAATTCATTGGAAACAAGTCATAGCAATAGAAACCGATAGGCTTTCCGTTCAATAGTTCAATCAATTTCATAATTTTTAACCTCAAATGTCGCGGTATATTAGGATTTCGGATCAAAAATGAATACAACAGTGAACTGGGCTTATGAGCCGCATGTGAGACACAGGTGCTCATAGCATTGAATGAGATAATAACTGATAATACAATTATAATCCATATAGCTATACATACGCTGCCGTATATATTAGTATCTCTATGGTGTATAAAATAGACACCTATTTCCAGGCCCGGGGTCATGATATAATACAATACAAAGGTAATGCAACGGAAAAAAATATTGAACTCGTGCGTAAGCTTAACTAAATATGCATGCTCATTAATTGCGTGTATGAGTAAGTATGTATTAATCCGGGACAGTCGTATTTTGTTATAGACTTCGTTGAATTTTAGTTTTAGGTACAACGAACACCCGTACCAAATGGACAAACCTATCCATAATATGCCAAATGATTGATAAAAACTGAATTCAAATAAAACACCAGTTACTAAAATATTGACAATTTTGAATTTAGAGTTATCATCAAGGTAAACCATAATAGTAACCACAATATAAATTGTTGACAAAAATATGAGTGATATGATTATGGATTCATTCATAAAATATTTGGTGAATATATTAACACGTCTTGTCAATCGCCTCATATTATAGCCATTTAACGGGTATTTGATTTGTTTTTGTCGTAAAAGCGACGCAAATGATAGTATATGTAAGGTATGGGTCCAGTCCTGGTATGAGACGACACACCCGGCGGCAAATGAGCCCAAAATTTGCAGACTAATACTCGTGTCGATTAGCCTACTGTTCCCTATGCTATGAAACGGGTCACTCATTATGTCTCGAATCCATGGCTTTAAGTGTTGGTTAGTTTTCATTAATATTTTTAACATAATTAAATTGCATATCAAAAGACGAATACCTTGTTAATGAATGCTGATACGGCAAATCTAATACTGGTCAGCAAGCATGATAACCTTGCTAATGCGACTAGTATATTCCTCTTTGTACTTCTGTAATCTATTATATGGTAATAATATAAAATGATAATTCAAAAATCATAAATACCCAGTTGATTTTAACAGAGTGTTACCTGTCATGTATTCATCGCAATCATTGCAAATGCCTACCAAATATAGTTTATTAATTCTGTCCATTTGTGTGATACCGGCGCTGATATCGTCGCTAATATGACGGTATTTATTGAACCGATATTTAACAACATTGTAAACTGACTGTCGCCTCATTTTGAATATTTATTTATGTTTAATAAAATTTTTGTTTTAAATAAAAAATGTATTTATCTAAATTTGTATTATATATAAATTATATTTATATAGACTTGAACTTATTTTAATATATATATATAACTTTATGTTTTATTTTATAATATATTTAAGTTTCAAATGTACTTAACTAATACTTATCATGCAATATATTCATTAGCGATATTGTCTATTCAAATGATTTATTGGAAATATTGAAGATATCTTATTATTTTAGATAATTAATGGATATTTTTATGGATTATATGTTTTATATAACAAATGAATATAATATTTATTTCAACATTAATTTATTCAATATAATATTTTACACATTTAAGAAAACCTATTATAAAACACTGTCATATCATATAATATACCTTTCAGATAATAATTATAAATAAGTTTTAGTATGTATGCTCATAATAATTTATATTTTTAAGTTAAACTAGTAACTTTATAAATCATAAATTATGATAATGGTATTTATTATAAACCTTTGTATAAAACTATAAAAATTTCATTTATTTTACATTACATTTTAATAAATCAAATAAATACATTCATTATAAAATCTATAATAATTATAAAAAGCAGTAAATATTATGTTAAAATGTTCATAATTAGTATATAATTACAGCCACCAATACACACGTATTGATAGAACTCTATGTAATTCATTGGAAACAAGTCATAGCAATAGAAACCGATAGGCTTTCCACTCAATTCCTCAACAAATGTCATAATTTTTAACCGCAAATGTGTCGGTATATTAGGTTTTT